CCCCACACTCTGCCATAAGTCACCTTCTGACTGACTAACTACATGTACTAATGACCTCCGAAAAGAGATAGCGGCACAAGGAAGCAGTGGGTTTAGATATGTAAGCCCTCGGAAATGAGCTATAATGGCGTGGGAAAAACAGCTCATTACCCTGGCCAATGCAATGCTGCTGCCATGTTTAAAAATACAGTATATGCATAAAAATGTTCTTTAAAGGAAAGCTACCCCCCATCCCCCGCAACAGCAACAACAAACAAAAGCAAAACAAACAACAACAACAAAACCCCCAAAACAAACAAAAATTAAAACAAACAAACAAAACAACAACAGCAACAATAACAACTAAATGTTGTTTCATGTACCAATTAAACAACATTTGCTTAAAAAATAATATGAAAGTTCTTATCAAAATTGTATTCTTAAAAATATTGACTAGCAAGGGATGCCTGCAAAGAAAAGGTCAAGGGGAAGACCGCCCGGCGTGGAAGCTGCAAAAGAATAACAGAAATTGATGTACAGAAACGAAGGAAGACATGAGGCTAGTCCAGGACAGAAAAAGGTGGACAGTGTTTGTTCGTGGCCTATACCCTGATGCGGGGTGAGAAAGGCAATGACGACGACGACGACGACAACGACAACGATGATGATGATGATGATGATGATGATGATGATGATGTTTCCAAAGAGTTTGTTTTCTTGGTAACAATATTTCAGTTGTCGTTTTTTTTTTAAAGGCTCTCCTGTAAAACGGCAAAAACTGCATATACCGTATTTATAAAAAAAAAAGACAGAATGTGTAGTCTACAGAACGGCGTCAGCAGTGAAGACTTATCCCATTACCACTGAACCATGACCCCCCATCCACTGGCCGTGGCTATCTCTCCCCCCCCCTCTCTCTCTCTCTCTCGATGCCAGGGTACGAAGCTTAGTGGGTATTGTGAGGGGCTCGTATTTCTCAAGGCCTCTCCTGTCTTACCGCTCATTACTCATTACCCAAAACCTGTACGTACGGCGGCCAAAGGGTTCATCAAGGTGCTTCTTTGTTCAGTTGGGAGGGAGGAAGGAGGTTTGTGGGAAAGGGAGAGGGGGAGGAGAGCGAGCGAGTATGTGAGCAGGTGTGTG